GAGGCTGTGGAAGGGGATGCTTTGGGAACATTTGCAAGGAAAAGCGATGGGATCAGTAGCACGGTGCGCCCTGGGCACACGACCTCCCTCGGCATGATGGACGCCTGTTGCGTCTCTCACTGGTGTGGTCACCTCCCCATCCAACAGTCCGGGCATTTGCAAGTCCACAAGGCCTGGAGGACTCCTGCCTCTTAGCATCAGTCCATGGGAGGTGACCTGGCTCTCGGGTGTAGTGGCAAGCCCTCACCCAGAGACCCCAGAGCAGGCACTGCTCCCCTTGCCTCCACCACCAATGAAGGGGGAGAAACCTCCCAGAGAGCGGGAGGCTACTCTCTTCCCCTCCTCATAATCAAATTCACAACCAATTATGTGGCACATGGTGTGATGAGTATGTCTTTCTGAGTTTGAGTTTATCCATATGATTGTGTCCTAAAAATGAAATCACATTTGTGGAAGCATGCAGTGCCTCATACTGAAAAAATTAAAACTTCATGACATTTGAATTGTCCTGGAAAATCTGGAATTTGGAGTTCTAGTAGTTATGCTTGGTGATCTAAGAAGTTAAAGAGCAAGCGGTGGGCTTGTGGGCTGTTGGAGGATGAACCTCACGCAGTTTTAGCGCTAGGAAATGAGCTATGAATTCTGTTAATGACGGAGAGAGACGGGATGGCCTTGGGACCATGACAATGAGGATCCACCCCCGCCTCTGTTATCAGCACTCCTTCCGCCTAACTGGTGAACTGGAAATTAATTTTATACTAATTTGTTCTCGGCTCATGCTTTAATGAGCTTATATTTCTGGGTATTTAATTTGAAAGTACGTTTGATAAATAATCTATTAAGAAATAAATTGAGACTGAGAATAAATGAGTTTGAAATTTCAGAGGTCAGTAATTAAGATTTTTGTCACTATTTGGTTTTTCACTGTCTAACCAATACTCAGCTGCCAATGCCACATTTCATATTTCTCTAAAATGAGGCAAAATCTGTGATGCATGATGGATATGAGACAAAAACCATGATTCTGGGCTCTCTGGTCAGCCTAAACTGATTAGCTCCCACTCTTCTGCTTTCTGCGTCTGCTCCGTTCTGATGTGCTTGCTGGGCACCCAGGACTGAAATCCCCCACTGGGATCCCTCTGGTGCCCTGGGCCATTATGACCCAGTTATGTAGCCTCCTCGTAATTAGACACTTGTTATCACAACTCCCTTAAGTACACCGGTCCCCTTATCTAGAGAGGGGGACCATGGAGCCTTTCAAAGTAATTTCACATGGAAGCTAAAAAGGCAAGCTGGCAGCAAGGTCTGGACACCTGACATGGCAGTCTGGGCTTGTGTCCCCTGACACTGTCCTGATACATCCCTTCCTGAGCCTCATGCTCACTGAAGAGGTCAGCTTCCCGTGCCCTGCTCCTGCCATGGAATCTTCCAGCCAAGCAGAACTAACTCTCGTCTCTGAACTACCAGCCCCTCTCCCATTGCCTCCCATCTCTGCACATGCTTCCCCTCTGTGAGCGTCCCCTCTCTTGCCTTTGCCCCTCGACAACAAGCCACCCTACTCCCCGACATTGCCTGGGGGCCAAAAAAGAGCCACAAATTTCTCTTGTTTGCAGTCAGTATAATCAACAACATAAACCATCCAAGATAGGCTACTAAGTTTGGACAAACTATAAACTAACCCAATAAGATGGTCTGCTATGAGATAACTTAAAGAAAAAAAAAGTTTTCCTTTACATTAAAAATAACCATGTATAAGATGCTGTCTGTGGTATCAGCAGACCTACCCAAGACCTAGGAATAAGCCTAATGGAAAAATTTTTAATGGCAACATGAAAAAAATCCAAGGCTCAGCTGAAGGACATAAAAACAACATTTTTAATGGAAATATACCATGTACATGAATAGGAAAATAGATCTTGATGGATTATAACAATGGATTTTTACTTTTTTAAAGATTTTATTTATTTTATTTGAGAAAGAGAGAGAGAGAGGGAGCATGAGCAGGAGGGAGGGGCAGAGGAAGAAGCAAACTCCCCACCAAGCAAAGAGCCCAATGTGGGACTCGATCCCAGGACCCCAGGATCATCACCTGAACTGAAGGCAGACGCCTAACCGACTGAGTCACCCAGGTGCCCCTATTACAGTGGAATAGTAACCACATTCTTAATATAATTTCAGTGGATTATTACAAAGCTTAAAATTTGATTCCAAAATTCACCTGGAAGAGAAAATAGGCAACATTATCCTAGAAACATTTGAAGAAAAGAACAGAACCAAAGAACACCTGCCATCCACAAGTTTGCCAAGATAGCCCTTGAACAAAGAGCTCTGGGTCATGCTCCTCGGCACATGCCCACGAATGAAACCAGAATCCCGCTTCAAGCCACAGACAAAAACTCGTTCTGTGTAGACTGAAGATCTGAGTATAAGAGTTAAACTTGTGGAACTCCTAAGGAAAGCATGGGTGGAAATCTTGAGCGCCTTGAGATCATGGTTTCTTAGGTATAGCACCGCTGAAAACATAAGCAACCGAAGGGAGAAGTGGACCTCATCAAAGTGATCAACTTCTGTGCTTCGGAAGAGATGCTTAAGAAAATGAAAGGACAACCCGCAAAGTGGGGGAGAATATTTGCAAACCCTATACTACAGCACGTACCCAAGAGAACCAAAACTGCAGGGAGTTGCATACGGTTGTTCATGGCAGCACTATTCACAGTTGCTAGAAAGTGGAGACAACCCAAGTTCCCCTCGACTGATGAATGGATAAACAAAATTTGGCATTTCCAGGCCGTGTATTATTTATTCAGCAATAGAAAGGAATGACCCATCTAAAACCTGAATGAGCCTTGTAAGCATTATGCTGAAAGCAGCCAGACAGGAAGGGCCACGTTTTGTATGAATCCGCTGCCACAAAATGAATGAACAGGCAAATCCCTAGAGATAGGAAGTAGCCGAGCCGTTGCCAGGGGCTGAGGCAGGACGGGTGGGTCCGGGGAAGTGAGGGTTCCTGGGGACGAGGTTTCTCTTCAGAGCAATGAGAATGTTTTGCAATTAGACAGTGGTGACAGCTGTACAACATTCTGAACCTGCCAAGTGCATGCTTTTAAAAGGTGACTCCTGTGGTCTGTGAATTTAATCTTAGTCAAAACTGAGAACCTGTTCTGTCTGCCATCCAAATGTGGGATGGAACAAGAGAAACTAAACAGTGCGGCGCTCTTGGCACGGAGATGGACAAATGGAGGTTGGTCTCACGTGGGACAGCTCATGGAGGAGAACAGCAGAGCCGTGAGCACCCTGTAGGTGACACATAGCACCCCCGATCACCAGGAAAGGGAATATGGTGGCAGAGGACAACCAGGTCTCAGTTTGCGGTGGACGGATTCTAACCTCACCCCTCAAAGAATAAGTTCCAGGTAGATTAAAGAGCTAAGTGTAAGACTATGGAAATAGAAGAAAATAAAGAAGGACGTCCACGTAACCTTGAAGAAAGCCACTCTGAGCGGTGCATGACATTCATAAAGAGAAAGATGGAAAATTTGACTTTATAAGAATGGGAAACTGTACAACCAAAGATACCATAAGTAAATTAAAAAAAATCACTTCTCACATAGTAGGTATACCCTGAATTTTTGAAGAACTTCTAGAATTGCTAAGAAAAGTCAAAATAACCAGTGTCCAGCACTCTCCTCTCCCTCCTTCAGTTGCCTTTCAGGTGGTCCCAGAAGTCTGTCCTCTACTGAGGGACAGATAAACTTGACCCCTTTATTGGGGGTTATTGGATGTCACTGGCCATTCAATCCCATCCAGTCCTCTTTCTTTCTTTCTTTCTTTTTTTTTTTTTAAGATTATTTATTTGTCAGAGAGAGAGAGAGAGCACACAAGCCGGGGGAGCGGCAGGCAGGGGGAGAACCTGGCTCTTCACTGAGCAAGGAGCCTGACGCGGGACTCAATCCCAGGACTCTGGGATCATGATCTGGGCCAAAGGCAGACACTGAGCCGACTGAGCCAGCCAGGTGTCCCAAGCCAGTCCTCCTTCTTAGCAAAGTCAGAGTGGTCTTGGGATCTTATTTTTGTTGAGCAGAACAGCTGGGCACCAAGCTCTGCCCCGGGAAAAGTGAATTCACCGGCACCGAGTGAGTAAAGGGGCCATGTGCTGGGGGGGACACCGCAGGGATGGGCTGAAGCTTGATGCCACTGGCCCTGTTCCTTCCATGCCGCCTCTGCTGCCGGACCACGTGGCTGGCATGCAGAGGCCACGAATGAGGCGAGTGGAACCCGCTTAGCATTTCTTGCCTGTCAGCCGCTTCGTGGGGGCTACCCCATAACTCTGTTACGTGGATTCTGGACAGATCTCTGTCTCGGGAAGGGAAGGTCTGTGCCGTGGTTTCTTGTTGCACTGGGTGACCTTATTCAAGAAATGGAATTCTGCAGGCATCACGCGGGGACTTCTGTCGTAGACCGAGAAGACCTTCCTATTTTTCTTTTCCTGCTAAGAGAGATCGTGAGCTCCCGACTGGGCAATTCAGGGCGGTCCCCTCCAGCTGCCGTCTCATCTGCTGTTCTGTTTCCAGAAGCCATTGATTTAGGCCTCATTCTGTTCCATTTCACAATGTGCTTAAACACGCCGCGCGGGTCGCATCTCGTTACAAAAGACAGCTTGCGGGAGGGTAAGGTGGTGCTGTCCACGGGGTCTGTTCTGCTGCTGGGTTTGGGGAAACCCTCAGCATCAGAGCTTTCCTAAAGGGTGTCAGAGAGACAAGAGTGGGACCGGGACGCTTCTTAACACCGCATTGATCATCTCTAAGTAAATCAGACCTTCCTGCCAGAGGTCCTGGCCGGGTCACGCCGGACTTGGCATTAAATATTAAGACCGCCGGGTCAATATTTTATGCCAAGAGGGAATCCCGTAGCTGAAAGCAGAAGAAGTGGATCGGAGGCGGTTGCCTTATTGTGAGCAGGCAAGAAGTTATGTGACTGAACCGACTTTCTCCTCTTTATAGGGTCACTGCTACTACCACGGACATGTGCAAGGACACTCTGGTTCCACCGCCAGCTTCAGCACTTGCTCTGGCCTCAGGTAAGTGACCCTGACGCGGCCGGCTCCGGACCCGAGCATGACTGCCACCTCCTTCTTCCCCCCATTCGCTCTCAAGGATCAAGAGTAAATGGTAGGGCCTGAGCCTCCCTCCGGTGAGACAGAGAAGCCCCGCCAGACACCTCGAAGGAGCACAGCGTGCCCGGGATCTTAGCTTCTCTGCCCCAGCAGCCCCTTCTAGAAGGTTCTCAGGCCTGGTGGGTTGAGAGCCACGGATGGGGCTGAGTTTCTACATCCGAGGATTTTGTGACGATCTTTCGCTTATGTGGCTCTTGTGCTTAATAATCCTGGCGTTAAAAGGTAGGAGCTCGGGTCCTAGCATTCAGGTTGTCGCTCAGGAGACATGCAGAGGCCTCCCCTCCCAGGAGGCGAAACAGAGCACCCAGCCGAGCAGAGAGCGGGGAGAGTTGAATCCAGGCGTGGCTTGTAGGGGCTTTTGCGATGAGGCTGCACACGTGTCAGGAAACAGCTCCCTTCCGTGGCTGGACGAGCCAACCCCCACGGCTCGTCCTTCCAGATCACACTCGTTGGCCACCAGCTGGCTCTCCCGCGCCCCCCACGAGCCGCCTCAGCCTTTTTGCTGGATCCATTCACTGGGTTTGTGAACCAGCCGCCTGCATCCCCCGAGTCCCGCTTCGCTTGCGCCCCGGGCTCTGTGAGGAGAGGGACGAGGGCCTGGGAGGGTGCGCCAGCTTGAGTGAGACCAGGCCGCCCTCTGGGTCCCGGGAACGCCGCGTCTCTGAGAGTCCCATGTGGGACACTGTACACTCACGATACACGGCACCACACACTGACACAGTGTGCCACACACGCTACCACACAGAGACATCACACACACGCTACAACATGCACAGCACAAACAGCACACGCACCACACACACAATATACTCCATGTGACATACCACACACAACACACAATGTACCATGCATCACACACACACTACAACATACCCAGCACAAACACCACAGACGCAATAAACCACAAGTGACATACCACATACGACGTACAGAATACACCAGACGTGACACACAATGTACCACACACGACATATCACACACACATACTATACCACGCATCTCACACACACAACATCCGTAGCCCAAATACCACACACACACAATATACCAGAAGTGACATACCACACACACACACACACACACACACACACAGGTCGGTCAAGCCCTGCGAGTGTGAGGGGAGTGACAGCTGCCCGGCCTCCTCAGGGTGTGAACGGCTGTGGACGAAGCCGGACGCTCACCGAACGCTGACAGGAAACGGACTCTCAGATTCACGCTGACACGCGGCAGGCGTTGAACCCGCGTCAGTTGATAAGGAATCCCCGTGGCCCGCACCTCATGGGCCGCCCGGGCTCTGTGGGTCACTCCCCAGGGGCACGCGGCCCCGAGCGCGCCTGCTGGGAGCCCCTCCCTGTGTGCGGCCGGCGCCCGGGGACAAGGCTCTTCTGTCAGACCCTCGGCCCCGCTTCTCGCGCTCGTTTCCCTTCTGTGGGCCCCTCTGTCTTCACTTGCGTGTCAGGGGCCCGGAGCAGAGCCGTCCCTCAGCCGTGCCCCCCAGAGCCAGCTCCTTCCACCGCACCGTTGTCTCCGGCCCATCCCGTCCCTGCCCCCGGGGGACGTGCCTCCTCCCAGCTGCCGCCGCCCCTCGCGGCCCGGTCGCCTGCACGATGTACGGGTGGCAGGAGAGGACATCCTGTCTCGCTCCGCGATCTGCTTTTGTCTCCAGCGTTGTCTTGACACGCTTCCTCCTCGGCTCTCGTGGGGCTGGCTCCTTCCTTTGACAGACGTGCTTGAATTCGCCGCGTCTTGTCTCTTCCCACCCTCCATGGTGCCCCTTTAGGTGGTTTCCAGCCTCGCTCAATTACAGACTGTGCTGGCCGCGCGGGGTCCTCAGGAGGTCTCAGGGGGTCTGTGCCTCGGTGCACAGGGCCCGGGGAAACGGGGGCGGGAAGAGCAGGTGCTGTGTGGATGCCCCAACCTTTTACCAGCAACAGTTCTGCCACCTTCTTCTTCCAAGTGCTGTCCCAGCGCCCGCGCTGGCCGTCCGAGCTGAGAGTCTCCCTCCTCACATCCTTCCCAATCCCAGACATCTGGTTTAAAAAATGTACAAAAAGCTAACCTTTCCCTGTTCACGCTCCTTCCACTCCTCTCATGTGGAACCTGGCAGCAGCGTGGGGATCCCCCTCCCACTTGCCTCCTCGTCCTGGGCACCAGGCCTGGGCAAAGCCCCATGCATGTGTGTTTCTCTATTTTTATAAAAATAGAGTCACATCATACTCTTCACTCTACCCTGATTCTTCTGTCTCTGCGAGTCAGGAGACAGAGACTTAAATCTCTGTTTGGTTCCCTCCCTTGAGTGTGTACACACACGTGTTTCTGCACACTGTTGCTCTCATGAAACGTCGATATCCCATTTAGAGGACACTATTGAACTTTGAAACGTCTGCTAATCTGGTATGTGAGCAGAGTGATCTTGTTGCTGATGGGTTTGCTGCTCTCCTATTGCTAATGGTTCCTTCGGCAAACATTCCTTGAGCACTTCCTCGTGCCACACTGAAGGAGGTGGGGCAAGCCGTGCAGATGTCTGCAGGAAGCACATTCCTGGCAGAGGGAACAGCATGTGCTAAGTCCCTGACACAGGAAAATGCCCGGGGTTGGCAGAGCAACAAGGTGGCCGGTGTGGCTGCGACAGAGCAGGCAGAGGAGGCAGGGGAAGCTGCGGTCAAGGAGAAGGAGAAGGGCCTTGGCCTCTCCCTTCTCTATGACAGGGTCACGGGAACTTTGCGCTGAGGTCTCACTTGACATTGACAAGGTCACTCTGGCTGCTGGGCTGGAATTGGATGGTACGGGGAGCAGGCGGAGGCGCAGAGCTCAGCAAGACACCTTCCCAAGAATCCTGCCGGGTTACCGGAGCCTGGGCAGAGGGGGCACTTGCGGACAAGCAAGAGTCCAGAAACTTCTTCAAGGGTTTAGAGATTCTGGTGCCCCTGACACCTGCATAAGCTTCTGACCATTGCCTTCTCCACCGCAAGTGCTCTGTGTCTGAAACTCACTCCGCCAGGGTAGTGAGGGGCACAAATACACGAAGGGGCCAAGCTCCTGCCGCTGAGTGAGGGGTTACTGAGGAAGCCGTGGGAAAGCCCCTCAAGGGGCAGGGCCTCCCAGACATGTGCAGGCCCAGCAGGAGTGCTGGGTGCTCGGTGGAGGAGGAGGTGGAGGAGGACACTGTTTGCAAGTAACGATATGCACAGAGAGGACATCAGCTCCCCGTGGACTGAGGTGCACGAGGGAAGAACTTAGAAAGAGTCTTTTGTCTTTTCAAAAGGCTGTCAGGGGGCTGGAGGCAGCAGGGTCAGCCAGGCTCCAGCTGCAGGGAGGACGAAAGGGCAGGGGGAGGGGAGTCCGAGGATGGACATGAGTCCCAGGGGCACAGTGGGAAGGTGAGGGGGCCAAGGGAGGAGTGAGAATGGGGTCAGAGGATTAAAGGGCTGTGTGGAGACAGGGCCCCATCTTGATGGAAAAGCCAGAGCTCAGGCTCCTTGGGGAGACAGAAGCGAACAGAGATGAAGGACAGGATGGGGTCAGACCTGATTGCATCTGGGACGGAGGGGTGTGACCAGTTCAAGATGGATGATCTGGAGCCAACAGTAGATGTTTGCACCCTAGACCACAACAGCCCTAGCAGTGAACAAGCTGTGTGACAGTGAACAAGTCGCCAGACCTCTCTGAGCCCCAGTTTCCTTGTGTTAAAATAGAATGAAGTCTCCAGCTAAAGTGGTGGTTTTGAAAATTAATCCTGTGACCTATAGGAAAGCCAGTCCTGTGCCTGACTTGGAGCAAGCCGCCAAAGGAAGAACCAAACCATCAGACTCTTGAGACTGTCTCGTGTTCTTTGATTCTGTGGCTGGACCACTCGGGAGGTGTGTTCATGCAGTACTTCTGCGCTAATTCATGCAGAGCGGTACTCCTCCTAGGGGAAACATGGCGGACACCCACAAGACCATGGTGGCAAAGATCACACATGGAAATCACAGTCACCCTACCCTGTGTGGTATCCAACATGCTTCAAAGTAGAGAGTTTCTAATACATACCTGGAAAAGGAAAATCCACAAGTCCACACTTTACTGTTGCTCCTCTTCAGAGCCTAAAAGATGGACCTGTTTGTTCAAAGGCCATTTATTGAGGGCTGGGTATTTCCAGCCTTCAAGTTAACATAAATGTCAAAGTGTGTAAGAACAGAAAAGCTAATCCGAACTGGCAAAAAAAAGCAAACAAAACTTGAAGGTAGACTCCTCCTACTTAAAAGACCAGAGGTGGCTTCAGGCATGGCTGGATACAGGGTCTAACTAATGCTGTCAGAGTCCATTCTCTCTCCACTCTGGCCTCCACTTTCTTCTGTGTTGGTTTTATTTTCGTATATGGCTTTTTGTGTGTGTGTGTGTGTGTGTGTGTGTGTGTGTGTGTGTGTGGTCACAGGGGGGGTTGCAGGCAGCCCTAGGCTTACATCCTCAGAGATCAAGTAGAAGTATGAGGACCCCTCTTTCAAGTTCAGCAGAGTTCCCCTAAAATACCTCTGATTGGCCCTTACTGGGTCATTGGTCCATCCCTGAAACAATCACAGTGGCCAGTGGTGGGTGTGATGCTCTGGTTTAACTCCCTGGGTCAGGCTGGGGGTGAACCACACCCAACCCCAAGGATGGGGGTGGGGAGAGTGAGTTCTCCAAGGAAAACCAGGGGGCTTTTGCCAGAGAAAGGGCAAATGAGGGCCAAGACAGTAAGCAACAAACAGGCATCTTCCAACAATGGCTTCTACACATCTGTGAAGAAGTTTTAGACCATCGAAACTGAGAACAGGCATTAACAGAGGCATCGGGATTGGTCTGGTAATTTTCAGGTGATTTTCATAGGCATTTCAAACTCTTGATAGGTAAAGACAAAGGGGTCTCTCCAAGGTATTCCATTT